GAGATATGGAACACCGCGCCACTGTTGCAGGACCTGTATATTCTATTAATCTATTCTATTAATTATCTGCGAGCGGTTTCGACAGCTGGTCGTACTGTCATCTTCTAGGCACTCCTCAAACTGCAGTTTGAGGAGTGCGGTTGTGCCAATAACGACCGTCCTCAAAGATGGCAGGTGGATGTCGTGGTCATAGTGGAGTCCAAAAGTGAGGTGTTTTTAAAAAAAATCAAGCTAGAATAAAAATTGGAGTGAAAGACATTTTGAGAGGACTAGTGGCCCCCTACGCCAGTAACCAGGCTATATGTTAACGGATTCGACGAAGTCGTCAATGCGATAATAGATGTGTTATTTGTCAAAGTCATATTGAAAGGACTCTGCCGCCTCCATAATAAAAAAGTTGTGTTTTTGAAAAAGAAAAAGTGAATGAGAAAGTACAGGGTAGCAGCACTGCCTCAAGCAAGAGAGCAGCGCCCCTGGACGAAGCTTCTGTTCATTGTGGACAGAAGGAGCAGTGGCGTAACAGATTTATTCGGGCCCCTCCGCAAACCTATTTTCGGGCCACCCACTAGTTATTTTTGAGCAACTGATATAACATAATCAAACAGTCACATAGATAAGGGTTGCATAAAATGGTGTATTTACTGTTTTAATCATGTTTTGATTATAAAATTAGATCACAAACATACGCCACCTTCAAATAAGCGGAATAACGGGGAATCAAAAAACCCCTTCGATCCATTCATTCAATAAAGTTTCTTTATATGCAAGATCCTATCTTTTTTTCGATGAGGAATCACCTCCTTAAATGGTTTACACTTATTCAGTTACACCCTGTAAAGTGAAGAGATGTCTACAGGTTCTGCCAATTAAGATGCATATCAATCAGAGCAGTCAAGCTTATAGACTCCACTTCTGTGTAATTTGTTAATTTTGCCTTTGGAATTTACTAGAAAGTTGCTCAAGTTATTTTGAGGTTTAAAAGAAATTTTTGTACCAGGTATGGTATTTTATATAAGTTTCGAAATAACAGTACAGATATTTTGATCAAAATAAGGTGAAGAAAAATATTTCACAGAAGGTGAACTAACCAAGGTGGTAGAGTTGAAGGCCAATCTTCCATCTGACCAGGGTTTGAATTTACTAATTAATTTGTGAATAATAGATGGTTGATAGCCATTGTTGAGAGCAATCTGTTTTAATTCTAAGTTAAAATTAGTAGGTGATAAAGGAATGTTCAACAATCTGTTGACATAGTAATAGAAGGAGGCCTTTTTATGTTGCATAGAATGAAATGAATTGAAGGGGATCACACGACCAGTCTGGGTTGGTTTTCTGTAAATAGAAAAATCTAGTTTGTTGTTAAAAAAAAGTTTGTTGTTAAAAGAAGTATAACTCAATCGTTTACCATCTTTTCCTTTTCACCAGTCAAACGGGAGCATGTTTCTATATCTTCCCAATAAGACTCAGGTCTAGGTGTGTCACTTTCCGAGTCGTAGCGGGCCAATTCATAAGTTTTTCCTCCTTTTTCTATGGTTACCAGTCTCTTAGTTAACCAGAATTGGAGTTCCTTCTCAAGAGTGTTGATATTATTTCTCAAAAACTCAAAGTCTTTCGTGTACTTAACATAGTCAGCTACCATTTGAGTTAAAAGCGGAGGCTGGGACCTGTTCAGATAATATATTCTGCCTCCGTTTGGTACAAAACCAAACCGTTCTACCATAGATAGTAGATTCTGTATCATACCACGAGCCGTTTCAACCATATCACTCAAAAGAAGGCCTTTGAGTATCCAGTATGTGTCCCAATAGTATAACTCTTTGAATCTTCCACCTGGGATGACGAATGGATGTGGTACAGGTATTAGGGAATGGGTTTCTGGATGGTCGATAACGTGATAAGACACTGTTCTTGTTAGAGTAGGCCAAATGTCAATGAGACTCTGTGCAAATTTTCTTACCACAGGATCGGTGATTTCTTTGATTATTTTCGGTTCGTGTTTGAAATCTCTAGGATAATACTCGTCTAACTCTCCAATAGACTTGAAGTTTTTGTAAACGAACTCTTTAATCTGCTCTCTCGTGGGATGTTCATCGTTTTCGGACATTAGTAGTTGAAATCTTTTCAATGTCTCATTCAGAGGATGGATCATAGCCATATCAACAAAAGTTTTTGAGTCGTTGAATATTTTTGCAGTCTGCACTAAATGAAGCAGATCTCCCTGGCAGTAGACAGCACTGTGACATGATTGTTTCGTTTGAGCCGAGCAGAGTTGAACCATAATCATAAAGAAGAGAAGATGTTCCCATAATTTTTCTGTGAAAGTAAAAAAGTTTGTTCAGTAATATAAACACCATGAATGAGACTCACTCATTTCGTGGGCAATCGCATTTTGGGACAGGTATGAAAAGCATATCACATCTCTTACGGAATATCGGTTTAGACAGATTCAACGAAAAATTTTTAACACATTTCAATAAAAAATCACATCGTTACTGACATTTCTCTGATCATGACACTGTCACATCCAAGCAGAATGGGACTACCATAGGGGGTGATCCGTACAATTATTGTATGGTGTCAGCGGATGTTCCTGCAATTCTGGAACCCTTAGGTACCAGTCGAGATGATGGTAAACGACCATATGGTATGTCTCTCATACCATGGAAATACGGTAAACATGTGGTATGGGACTTCACTTGCGTTGACACGGTCGCGGCTTCCCATCTAGCCGAAAGTCCTAAGTCTGCTGGAACTGCAGCATTGTCTAGCGAAAAATTGAAACCAAAAAAATACCAGAATCTTGGTAACAACTATCTGTTCCATCCAGTAGCGGTGGAAACTTTTGGTGTTCATGGCCAGGAGTCTCTGTTATTCGTTCATGAACTCGGAAGGAGAATAGGCCAAGCAACGAAAGATCACGGTTCTACCTATAGAAAAAATTAGAATCGCTATTCAACGTGGTAATGCTGCTTCGTTTCTTGGAACTATTTCTCCTCCACATAATTTTGATGAGATCATGCATTGCCCTTATTTCAATACGGAACTAAAATCTCTTCTAAACAAGCCGAGATATGTGGATATTCATCAGTCTCCTCTCATGGTTGATTCGCAAATGATTGAATGTTCATGACGAAGAATTTCAAGAACGAGGTTTCAATGATGAACGAGAACGAGAATGTTTCCTACTTATTCACCAAACTCAAACACCTGTTCATGCAGCTGCAGTTTCGTATGAATGTATCATCTTTACCTCCAACCGATTTCCTGGAGTCTTTGAAGTTCATTAGATACTCGTTAGGACAGCAAGAGGATTGTTCGGAATTCTTGGGATTCTTGTTAAATACTCTTCGTAAGCAAAACAAAAGCAGAGTCAATACTAATGACCGCTCTTTACAGTCTATCTCGTGTTGTGTTTGTAAATATTTTGCTGGAAAAATCCTCACTTGTTTACTTTGTAGTGAGTGTTCAAGAGGTAGCAAAAACGTATGTGAATTTATGGAACTTCAACTAGCGTTTCCTAATACAACTAATAAGAAGTCTGTGCAAAGCTTATTGTTAAATCATCTGAAAATGGAATTTTTGACAGGTGATGATCGACTGTATTGCCAAACATGCACCAAAAACCGGAGAAGAGACTATCAGAGAGCTTTTCCGGGTACACTTTCCCGGGTCAGAAATTACATATCTAATACCGGAGTCCTGGGCGAATTCAGAACTGGAGACCCAGAAAAGGGCATCCAGGGAGGACTGGTAAATGACAAAGAAGGTGATAGATACGGAGAAAATCAAATAGGCTATAAACTCCTTTCAACCCTATAAGTCGCCGGGACCGGATGGCATATACCCAGTTATGCTTCAAAAGGGACCGGAAGTACTGTTCAAAAAATTGTGTATAATTCTCAGGACAAGCTTAGCACTGGGACACACCAAAAATTTGGAGACTGATCAGGGCCACCTTCATTCCGAAACCTGGGAAAATCGGACAGGGCACGGCGAAGGCTTTGAGACTAATTAGTCTCATGTCATTTGCGTTGAAAACGCTATAAAAACTACTCGACAGGCATATTAGGGACGTAACACTGGCTATCAGACCATTACATCGAGACCAATATGCAAACAGGTCAGGTATGTCAACAGAAACGGCTCTATGTCGGGTAACAGAAAAAGTAGAATATACCCACAAAAACAAGGAAGTACTCTTAGCTGCTTTCCTGGACATTGAGGGCGCATTTGATAATACGTCGTTAGAATCAATCATCCAGGCGTCGAGGAGAAGAGGGATCGACAAGACAAGCTGCAGGTGGATAGACTGCATGATTAGGTCAAGATTGGTATATACAACCATTATGGGGGAAACAGTCGTGGCACGGGTAGCAAGGGGCTGTCCACAGGGGGGTTCTATCCCCTCTGTTATGGAACCTTGTAATGGACGAGCTACTATGCCTCCTGGACCGTAATGGGCTTAACATAAGCCCATCCAAATCGACCATAGTAGCATTCACCAAGAGGACTAAAACGAAGGGGCTCGGACCTCTAAAACTTCAAGGTGAAGAAATACAAGTGTCGGGGGAGGTTGAATATCTGGGAGTAATCCTGGATTCCAAACTGACCTGGAACCAACACTTGGACAGGATAAAGAGGAAAGCGGAGGTAGCACTAATGCTCGCCAGACGCACCTATGGAAAAACATGGGGACTAAAACCAGTCATGGTATATTGGCTATACATGATGGTGGTTAAACCCATGATAACATACGCATCTCTGGTCTGGTGGCCAAAGATGAAGCAGGCGACCGCTATCAACAAACTAGGCAAGGTGCAAAGACTTGCATGTTTGGGAATGACGGGAGCAATGAGAACTACCCCAACAGATGCATTGGAGACACTCCTGAATCTGCCTCCTTTACACTTTGTGATAATGGGGGAGGCCAGGATGGGCCAATTCAGACTGGAAAACTCACCGAACTACAGAAGATCGGACCGAACAGAAATTTCGGAACAAGTGGAGGAACACATATTGAATATGTGCACGGACCACGTGACACCGAAGTACACCTTTAACACAAACTTCACGGCCAAAATCATAAGCAGTGAAGAGTGGAAGACCATTAGTCATCCCGAAAACATGTTTGGAGAAAACACCTGGTATACAGATGGATCGAAGACCAAACATGGAACGGGAGCTGGAATATACGGAGCGGATAGAAATTTAAACTACAGCTATCCGCTAGGACTATACACATCCGTCTTTCAGGCGGAAGTGTATGCTATCTTGCAGACCGCTAGGACTATACACATCCATCTTTCAGGCGGAAGTGTATGCTATCTTGCAGTGTGTAAGGCTCATTAAATTGAGACTTCAAAGAAATGAGCGGATCAATATTTTTACAGACAGCAAGAGCGTACTAGGGGCTCTGACAAACCCGAAGGTGACATTAAACTGGTCTGGGAATGCCATGACGAACTGAATGAACTTGCAAACAGGAATAGATTAACTTTGTACTGGGTGCCAGGGCATTCAGGAGTCACAGGTTATGATAAAGCTGGGACCAATAAGAAGCACACAGAGTACTGGACAAAAGTACCTGCCAACAAACACAGTAGAACCTTCAATAGGGAACCGTCCGAGAAAAGAACCGAAGAACTACTTCAATATAGTAGGGATCGGCTCAGAATAATTACAGGGTTACTAACCGGTCATTGTCCGCTCAGAATACACCTGAATAAAATGGGGCTGTACAATGGAGACCTCAGCTGCAGATTATGCAACGAAGGGATAGAAACAGCTCTACACATCTTATACGAATGTATACACAGGTAATGGATCACAGGAGGCAGGTAATATATGGACGTATGAAATTACGTCCAGAAGAATATGACGGACATCCAACACGGAACCTGTACAAACTAGTACAGGGAACGAGACTGATGGAATGAGTGTCATGAGAAGATGGAAGAACAAACGCAATAAGCCCAAAGGCTGCAGTGTTTCCTGGAGATTTGGACTAAATGGACAAGTCAGACAGCTCCCAAGGTACAAAAAAAACTGACTGTTATAAGGAAAAAAGTATAGCTGAGGCACCAGTCAATCCAATAATAACACTGCTGATCTTCAAACATAACTCAACCTCTGAAGGAAGCACCAAACTCCTACAAAGGTTCGAAATAGATGAACATTTCAACCTAGCAGACCACTATTATAATATTCATGCAGTCATTGTTCACTGTGGTTCTGGCGGTGAATTTGGTCATTATTACGCCTTGGTCACAGACGAAACGGACTAGTTTTAGTTTGACGATAGTCGTGTCACTGAGTGTTATGGCGAAGTATTGAATTTATTAGAGCCTCTGGAGACACCCTACTTTTTGTTTTATGAGAGAGAGGACATTGGCAGATCAAGATCTTCAGATGATGTGGTGCTGCAGGTTTTTCCGGGTTTTCCTGCAGTCATTATAGCAAACAAGTACCTACCTCTTCTAAACTGAACTGTTAAGAGTTGTTCTTCGTCATGATGCCTCAAGCAAGGGGGAGAAGTGAGTAAATTTTTGATAGCTTCTACCCGTTCTGATCTTTCTTTTCAGGAATACGATTTTCATTCAATAAAACTTTAATAACAAAATATATGTACATAGGTTAAACATAAACATATTCAATAAAATAGTTCCTTGGGAAATTCTGAATCAAAAGTTTTTAGATTTTCTCGTATCCACTTATCAGCACCAATCTTCATTTCTTCACTAAAATAGTTTTTCCAGCCACCCGTTTTACCAGATCTAATAAAACCTCTTTCGTTAGACATTAAGACACCCAGTTTTTTCATGTCGTCAGAATTGACCGATTGGTTATCTCGAAAATGATCTATCCTCAGGTGATCCTCTAGAATATCATATTGTTCATCAGAGAATTTCTTTCCTATGAACTGTGATACTTTCTCGATGATATTTCGTAGGTCCTGAAAACAAAAAAAAAGGTTTTCAAAAATCATAAACGAGCAGGTATTCGCTCAAAAAACAATAATGTGATACAGTATAGAGGAATGCGTTTAGAATTAGAAAAGGTTCAGTTTATCACAACTTCATCATTAGATAAAATACAACCAAAAACTAGAATATAATGCAAAACGTAATGAAATGTAGAATACGAAAAAGAACTATGGATATTAACGAAGTAGATGTTCAAAATGTTCGCCGGGAACATAGCAACTTCCTAATTTCGAATAAAACTGTCTTCTAACAAGAAATCTAATGATGAAAGATCAGGTGATCGCGCTGGTCATTCAATCGATCCTCGCCTCCAAATCCACCGCTTGGGAAATGTTGTATCGAGGAATTGCCGGTTATTAACTTGGTAATGTGGTGGTGCTCCATCCTGTTGAAACCATATCGTATTCACTGGAACTCGAGGGGTTCCTGGATCAGGATATAAATTTGCTAAACTTGTAATGACATCATTTTGAAGTAGTGCCAAATAATTATCGACATTCAAGTTGCCTGTCCGACATTACTAAGCTCGCGAAACTGCTTCTCTATTTTGCTTATTGTTCCTTGGGATATGGGAGGTAAATTAGAAAATTTCTCATGGAATAGGGGAAATTTCCGTAACCAATCATTTGTAAAACTGTTATTTTATGCATTTTTTTATGCAATCTAACCATTTGTTAAGCTGCTTGAACTTTTAACTTAAATTAAAATGCTGACAATTAATGTTATAACATACAAAACAAGTTGACAAGGCGCTTTAAACTGACGTTGCCACGGAAATTATTTACAGTTTTTCGAAGGATACCATTGATATGGTTTTTGCTTACTTTCTTATTATCAGTACCTTAACATTAAATACGTTTACAGTATATTGCAATAAGATTTGAGTGTACCTATTTTATCGAATTTCGATAAGCACATGATTTTAATTAATTTTATATTAATTGTTGCAATAAACTCAAAAGCAATAATATTTTTGAACATACCTTTCAAACGGTATATCATTAGCCTAGACTTCCCATTTAAAAAAATGGGGGTTGTACCTGTCATTTGACGGGAGTTGAATCGACAAATATACGCAAAATCCATATACAGGGTGTAACTAAATAAGTGTAAAACATTTAAGGAGGTGATTCCTCATCGAAAAAAAGATAGGATCTCTCCTATAAAGAAATTTTATTGGAGCATCCCTTGCTAAGATACAGCCCCTTAAAGGGGGTACATAAAATTTGTTAAACAATTTTTTTCAAAAGCACTAAAAAAGTAACAATATTGAAATTAACCTGACGTTTTGTACTAACAAAAAGGCACTTAGCCAGAAATTTATTTGGTTTACCCCATGGTTGTAAGGGGTGGAAAACGCAACCCCTAAAACTTATTTTCAATGTAACTTTTTTGTGTTATTATTTGTTTACCATTTGAAAATTTATTTCCGATAGCCTGTTTCATTCAAAACAAAAATGTCTCTTGGATTTTTTGTCCAAAATGAACCAGTTAGTCGCCATCGAGAAGTACGAACACCACAGCTTGAGGAAGCAGTACTTAATTTGATTGAAGAACAATCTACTACCAGTACTAGAAAGATTGCTTTCCCGCTATATATTGATTATATGACGGTATTTCGAATTCTAAAGGAACAAATCTTATATCCTTACCATCTGCAACGAGTACAGGCACTGTTACCGCAAGACTTTCCGAACCGTCTTGAATTTAGCAATTGGATGCTGGAAATGATTAGAAGAAATTGTGACTTTCTGAAGACAATAAAATTCACAGACGAATGTAGTTTTTCTCGGGACAAGATTATTAATTTTCATAATTCCCACATATGGGCTGATAAAAACCCTCACGCTATTGTCGAAAGTAACCATCAAGAACAGTTTTCTCTTAACGTGTGGTTCGGAGTTATTGGGGATGATTTAATTGGGCATCATTTTCTACCTCCTCGACTAAATGGTGAGGCATACGTTCAATTCTCAAGAGAAGGGCATCCAGTACTGCTGGAGGAAGTTCCTTTGGGCGTCAGAAGGGATATGTTTTTCATGCATGATGGGGCTCCCGCCCATTTTAGTCTAGTAGTACGTCAGCATTTAACTAAAACATATGCAAATCAGTGGATAGGTCGAGGAGGACCACAGAACTGCCCCGCTCGATCCCCGGACCTCAATCCTCTCGATTTCTCTATTTGGGGCCATTTACAGCATTTGGTTTATCGTACTCCTGTTCGCGATGTAGAGGACTTGAGAAACCGCATCATCGATGCGCGCAGCGTAATCAGTGAGACTCCAGGAATATTTGAGCGAATACGTGGCTCAATGCGCCGACGTCTAGACATATTGAACATTTACTATGATTTCTACATGTTGTGTGTTTTGTTATTAATAAATTAGATTTGTATATTACCCTTTAATCGTTTAATGCAGGTACTAACCACAAAATAACAATAAATTCAGTTCGCATTTATGAGAATGTATCTCTGTAGTTGTAAAATAATTTTTTGCTGCGAACTGGTTTATTTTGGGCAAAAAACCCAAGAGACACCCACCCCTTACAATCATGGGATAAACCAAATAAGTTTCTGGCTAAGTGTCTTTTTGGTAGTACAAAACGTCAGGTTAATTTCAGTATTGTAACTTTTTCAGTGCTTGTGAAAAAAATTGTTATACAAATTTTATGTACCCCTTTAAGGGGCTGTATCTTATCGAGGGATGCTCCAATGAAGTTTCTTTATATGAAAGATCCTATCTTTTTTCCGAAGAGGAATCACCTCCTGAAATGTTTTACACTTATTCAGTTACATCCTGTATAGTTATCATTTTCGGATCAAAAAATCAATAGGAGTAGAATCATCAATTCAGTTGAAATTCACATAAATGCAGATACACTTCATGTTGTTGATGAAGCCAGAAACCTTGGCGTTTTGGTTGATTCTCATATGAGGTTAGAAGAACACACCAACAAACTGATTCAACGAGCATATGTCTCCCTCAAACTAATATATGGTAATAGGCACTGCCTATCAATTGAATTGAAAAAAATGTTGTGTGAGAGCTTAGTATTATCACAATTGAATTTTGCAGATACTCTTTATGGGCCTGACAAGTCACTATAAACAAAAAATTCAGAAAGTCCAGAATTCTTGTTAGAGAGATATATGGAATAAGAAGAAGAAACAGAATATCTCACAAGCTGAAGGAAGTAGGATGGCTAAATATGGAGAATAGGAGAAAACCACATGCTGACCTGCCTCTATCACAAGATTCTCTTATATAAAATCCCTTCTTACCTGCATAGGAAAGTGACGTTCCGAACCGGTGTTCATAATATTAACATCAGGTTCAAAGGCTCTTTAACACTTCCCATTTTCAAAATCCAGTTATTCAAATGCTTCTTCAGTTACCAGATAGCAAAAGTATTCAATGCTATTCCTGAACTTTTTAAAAAACTGCCACCCTCTCAGTTGAAAATCAAATTGAAATTATATTTTTTTCAAAATCAATAACATGATGAACGGTTCACCATTCCTGTCTTCTATCTGATCATTATTCATGTATTCATATACTTATGTTATTAATATGTTGAACGACATGATTAAAACTCAAATGCAAATGGAATATTTCACAGTTTCCTACCTTATTCATATCTTCATAGAATAAAAACAAACAATTTTTATTGCTTCTGTGATTCCAGCCCTCCTTGATATGCTCCCAGTACGGTGCCCAAGCAACTATGGAGAAATATAATTATTAGTAATGATACGAAATTTGAAGAAATTACTTTATTATTAAAAGAAATAGTACAATGGTGCACCTTTCTATCACCATTGCCATTTTCTTCCTAAGGAAAGGTTTCTTTGTAATAGAATGTACTGTTAATAAAATGAGGTGAGTGTTCAAGTTTCGCGGACTACGTATATTCGATTAGCGATTTTTTCATTTTGTTATGTTAGTACATTTATGTCGAAATTATGTTTACAGTTTCAGCTGTCAAGCATATTCAGTTTGTTGGTGAGAGGTCTGAAAGTTGAAAGTGTTTTGCGTGTTCGACAATTTTCTGCTATTGATAAAAATGGATCAAAGAATTTGCATCAAATTTCCTGTGAGAAATGAAAATGAGTGCTCAAAACCACTTGAAATGTTGACAGTGGCTTACGATGATTGTACTCTGCCCCAGAAAAATGTTTTTGGACAACGTCATTAAAAGTGACATTTTTAATGGTTGTCGAGAGTATTAAAAGATGATGTTTACAAAGAAGCGATTAACATGATTTTTTTTGACCAAATAGCAATGAACAAAACATAATTATTCAATTTTCAAGAAATGTTTATTATGAACAATAGATATAGATGCAATTGAATTCTGTTACTAAAGTTTTATACACATTAATTACATTATTATTTTATCATTTATGAACATTAATATGAAAAGTATAATTAGAATCACTGTTGATATCGATACCTTGCGATGTTAAAGAGCCTTGTAATTTATTTGAACTAGCCGAGTTGACAATTTCAGGAGCATCGTCCTGAAGTGAAGATGACGATGCTGTAACGCTGGAACTAGCTGTTGGGATTATTCTTTCAGCAATAGCTTTTATACAAGAAATGTATTGATCGATGTAACCCTCAGCTACTGTTATAGACTTCCATCCTCCGTGATTGTTACTATCCGTTATATTTGCTCGTGATTTTGCTAGCAAAGAAGCAGGAGACCTTCTAAAACAGTGACCTGTATATTCCTTTGGTTCCGGGAGGTTCAGAAACTCAGCAATGGTAGAGAGCATTTTTCCAAACGTGTTTTACCAACTGGATTGGCACTGCATTCATAATTTGAGTATTTCAAAAAAAAAGATAACAGAAGGGCGTAATGCAACGTATTTATTAAAATAGTCAATGATTTTCCCAACAATGCAAAATGAACGATCTATTTTCGTTTTTTTGTTTGGAATTTGAACAATCAATGATTTATCCACTGATTCAATGTCTTCTATTATTAAATGGCACAGCTCTACACGCTGGCAGGCTCCATATATTCCGAAAATAGTAGCAACTTTTATCAAATATTTTTCATCTGGCGCCTCAATGTGAGAGTTTTTAATTTTTTTGGCCTATGACTTTCATTTTTCCGCTTTAAGAATGCTATTACCTCGAAATATTTGCTTATATATTTAACGAGCTAACTCGACTTTATTATTGAAAATTTGCTCCACAAAGTTGACGAGTTCCATATTTCTTATTTCTCTTCTAGATAGGCTAAGAAGACGGTATCGCTGAAATTTTCTTCGATGTTTTCAAGTCTACACCATCAGCTAAGAAAATTAGAATATGGGTTGTCGTACTGCTGAGCCGAATTTTTTGGTAACAATTCAATTGAAGCTCTTTTCGCAGCCTCTTCAATATCGTCAGGAACACACAATTCCTCACTATTGTTCTTCATTATGCAAGACATTAAACACCAGCAAGAACTTTAAATGTGACTTTAAATAAAACGCGTGAGCTGTAAACAATACTGTTTGTTGGTAACCAGGTGATTTGGCGTTCCCTGACACGGCCACTTCACAGCAAATGCGATAACATGAAAACAGTTAACTAACAAGAGATGTCAAAATGTGTTTTTGTAGAAATATTCAATTCATCTATTTCATTGTGAAAACAGGACGGTGGAACAAAAAACTTCGTATGATATTTATGAACTAAATTTTGAAAAATGCGAGTTGATTACTCTTTCAACTCCGAATAATATTTCCGAATCCATTTTGAAATTGGCTCCTGGCATAAGAATTTTGGAAAAGTCCAAACGGAGTCCTCTGGGTGCTCCTCTCTCTAAAGATTCACTTTCAGAACATCTTCGAGAAAAACGGGAATCACTCAAATTGCTGACCACCAGATTGAATGAACTTCCAAAACACGTTGCATTTTTTCTTTTGAAAAATTGTTTGGCAATTCCAAAACTTATGTACGCCGGCAGATGTTCCCCCAATTGGTCAAGTCAGTTAGAGCTTGATGAATTTGATAATTTACTCCGCCACACGACGAAATATGTTACAAACAAACATTTCAATAATGATTCATGGCTCCAAGCAACTCTTCCTGTAAACCTTGGCAAATCAGGGCTACGTTCGGCTTCTTCCTTAGCTTTACCAGCGTTTCTGTCATCAGTCAATAGTGTTTCCGATCTTATCGATTCCATCCTTCCTTCCATATTTATCAATATCAAAGACGTTTTTTATTCTGAAGGTGAATCACTTTGGCATGCTGCAACTAATATTGCTCCTCCTACAGATAAAAAGAAAATACAAAGTGTATGGATTCAATGAAGATT